GATACATTTAAATCACATGACTTCAGTTGTCTTTTCACTTTAGGTATAAATTCACAAAATTAAGTATTATTTTAAGAAAAAAGACATTACACATAAAAATAAATAAAAAACATTAATAGTTTGGGTTTAACTCCAGTGTCAGTACTTGTAATTTCATTTTATTTAACATCTCATTGCAGCATAAATTTCATTACCTAAGTTGCTAAACATACATTTAAAAACAAATAATTCAGTCTGTGATGAATTACCAAACTCCACCATCTCTGTTTTCTTGTTTAGTTTGAAAAAGTTCTCTTTCTGGACCTTGAAAAGCTTCACCTTCTGCCTGAGAACATGCAGAGTGTAATATCTGCTGCTTACAGTAAAACCTCTACAGAACATCTGCTCACTACTGACCCTCAATAAAACTGATGCTAGGCCAGATGTGTGGTCACTGCAGCCGAACTGTCCATCTCCTTTTTTCTGGGTGAATTCATATTCAGATTCTCAAGTCGTCACTTTTCCATTTAGTTCATTACAGACTCAAAAGAGATGAGCAGTGTCACTTTAACATAAACTGCAGGTTTGTCTGTGTGTCTCGTGTACTTTTGGTTAAAATATTCTTGTTCTTCAGTCAGTGAAGTTACTCGCACTGGGGAGAGTATCCAGAAATTTTACTCAAGCAAAAGTAGCAGTACTACATAATAATATTACTCAAATAAAAGTATATAGTACAGAATAACAAATTACTCCTAAAAGTACTTTTTTTTCAAAACGTTACTCAAGTAAGTATGAATTTTATTGAAGTCAAAAGCAGTAATTTGTTTTGTCTCTCTCAGAAAAGTGGTGAAAAGCCAGGAACAGCTTGGACGAATGATTCAGGAGGTTGGTTCATTTGCAGAAATTACTTTCGTATTAAGTTAATTGATTATTAGAAATGAACAGATTCAGTCATTTTTTTAAATCAAACTCTGGGTTTGATTTAATTGAACTTACATTTGTTGTCAGAAGATGGCAGCACTGAATAATCCACCGGTCTTGATTTGTCTGTCTCTGGGTGGCAGGTCTCTCACGTCTCTGTGATGAAAAAGTAGTTCTTGGGATTGTTGCTGCTTGGCTGACGTCAGCTCAGCGTCCTGTGCCTTTTGGCCCACGATGAAACAACCAGCCGCACCATCAGCGCTCACCACAGAAGGCAGGACTGTGTTTGTGTTTGTATATATGTACCATGAGTGGCCGGCGGGCCAGGGAGACAAACCACCGAGGCTCTTGGTTTCTGTGCAGCCACACAATCGGCGGTGATTAGAACATCAGAGGTTTTCGATGGGCTGGGCTGCTAATGAAGTATGACGGCGCTGGCTGGTGTAAACAAACAGTGGCCACTGAAGAATACCGCCACTGCATTCGCTCATTCACTCACTGCTGCGCCTGCCGGCTCAGAACAAAGAGTCCTCTCATGAAGGTCCTCACAGAGGCACAGGGGGCAAGGGGTGAGGGTATGGTCTGCAAAAGCAGAGCCAACCACACCATGCCATACCCTCACAAAGCTTCCCACCCATCCTTCACCATCATACACTGAGCTTCTTATGTAGCTAGAATGATTATTTCTAGATATTTTACTTATTTAGACACAAAACAGCTTGTGTCTGTAACAAAAACTAATGGCAAACTGCACAATTAGAAGCCCACTTCATTCCCAAACTCGCCCTCCACCTTCCTTTTAGACCCCCGACTCGGTTCAAAGCTCTGCGTGGACCTGGACAGATCCATCGTTTGAAGTCGCCGCAAGAACAGAAGCCAAGCGAAGGGATGAAACAAGGAGGGCGGCACATCAGAGGATGCGAGTTCAAACGAAGGGGCCCGCCGGTCCCTTTTGTGTCGAGGCTGCGCATGCGCGCTGTGTGCCCGTCTGCTCGTAGCCGTCCCATATCTGGGAACTGAAGTCATCAAGTTTCAGAGCCAAAGTTGGCCAACTTAAAAAGCTGTGAAAAACTGTCTGAGTCGTGTTGTGTACATGTGAGTTTATTTATTATGCTTGGAAGTATTAAAGTATGTTCAATAAATTGTTCCAACATAATTTTGATTTGATTTTTATTTGTGATTTGTAAATGTGTGTGTTTGTATCAAATCTAGTACTGTGCAATTAAAAAAAAACATTTCCTTATACTTAGCTTTCTAGGGGACACATTTTCTTTTTATTATTAGTGGTCTTGATCAGTAGTTTCCATGTTTTCTGGTACTTGCTTCTTTTTCAGTATGTATCTGAACATGGCACCATATTTTGTGTGCTTAAAAAGGAGGAATGTGGACAAGTGGAAGGAAAGAAATACCAGGAATAACCAATTATAGCAGATGAACATTATCTGAATGCCATGTCTTTTAAAAAAATAGAGCAAAAACCTGACACAGGACATGAAAAATGCACCATCTTTATTCATCAGTTATCTGCTTTTTTTCTCCCTTTTCAAGTCTTGGGGGGTCACTGGTACCTATGTCCAGCAATAACTGCAAGAAGCAGGGCTTCATCTCGGACAGGTCAAGTTTATAACAGACACAAAAACAAGTAACTTTCTTGCATCCTCTTTTGGATTTATTATAAGATTCCAGCTAATACTTCTTTAGGACATGGTGTCAAAATAAAATGTTATATATTAAATATAATATATAATGTTAAACTGTCTCAATTTTGGTATTTTCGTATATTAAACTAAGGAAATGGAAACAGACTGCAACAACAAGCCTTAATATTTGATTTTATATACGATTAAATGCATAAACATAACTTATTTTTTCTTTGTTTGGGAACATTTTTATGTTAGATTCAGAAGTCATGAGACGTAAAAAGAATGCAAGTAAAATAATGAAGGAAAATATACAGAAATAACCACAGATTCATGAAGGCCTTTAAATCGATGGAAATAACTACATGGGAATGAGTTTACTATAAACTTCCGGTAAACAGGAAAAAAAAAACAGAAGTGCCTGTGACCTTTGACCTCTCCTACTGTCACTGCCTACACGCTGTACGCTGCGCGTCCGTGTGCCGCGGCTACTGCGCGTCACCGTTCCTGTGGAACTCAGGGGAGGCTAAACTCGGACTGCCAAAGACTCCTTCCTAGAAAATAATGAACAACAAATTCGATGCGTGAGTAAAAGTTTATCTGAGCTATGAACGCGAAACGGAGCTGAACTCTACGTCGCTTTTACGTAATCATCGCCGAGGGTTCAAGTTAGTGAAAGCTGCGATGCGTGAATGAGAGGTGTGTCAGCTTAGCATGCTATAAATCTATCAATGTGTCATATCGATTATAAAGGAAAGTTACATCCAGTCAAAAAGGTCAATTTGTAACAAAACAAAGCGATAATGATGACAAATATTTGTTTATTACTAAGGTTTGCGGTGTGCTATTACTCGTAGCTTAGCTTGTCAGAGAGCGGGTAGGCCGTCAATCCTCGGTGCAGTAGTAGTTCAGAGGCGGGAAGAGGAACAGTCAGGCTCGGCTCAAACTAGATGCCCGTGTCCCTTACGTACGAGCAAGTTGGCAAGTGCTGATTTTGACACAATATACTATAACCTCCCATAATAACATCACAGGCAGCGTCTCCTTGGATTCACAGTTGAACCTGTCTTTATTAGCCATTAAAAAAAACCGAACATGTGTTTGAGACTTTGCAGCAGCTGTGCGGTAAATCAGACCACGCAGCTGTAGTCTCGTTTTTGAGTTGATCATAATGTTTTTGCATCTTTTTGTTTATCCTACTCATCACAAACTATTTGTTGTCTTAACTGTAACAAAGTTGTTGAACACGATAATAACCATGGGATCAGAAGTGGATGATAGCATCATGTTTTATGTTTGTGTCGAATGCAGTTTGAAAGACGATGATAGTGGAGATCACGACCAGGAACAAGGCTCACCGAAAGACAACGAAAAGGAAAAGCTTGAAGACGACGACAAAGAACAGAGCATTACCAGGAGAAAGGTAAGGAAGCTCTATATTCACTCCAGAGTTGTATCCTCCTGTTTTCRACAGTCACAAATAACCTACCGTACTTACAGATGGTGGTTCCAGGGCCCGGAGAGCACCCTCTTCAGTACAACTACACTTTCTGGTACTCGAGGCGGACCCCCGGGAGACCAGCCAGCACTCAGAGTTACGAGCAGAACATCAAACAGATTGGCAGCTTTGCTTCGGTTTGTTGCCTTTCATGAGTTCACTGAAAGAGCTTTTGTTTGCCACCTCAGTTACAGTCGCTACATACAAGCTTTGCTGCTTTATTTTCTCACATTTATAAATGTAAATTTTTCTGAAGGTGGAGCAGTTCTGGCGTTTCTATAGTCACATGATCCGACCCGGTGATCTGACAGGTCATAGTGACTTCCATCTCTTCAAGGAAGGCATCAAGCCCATGTGGGAGGTTGGTGCGTTTACTTGTTTTTCCATTGAGTCTCTTTAGCGATGATCTAAAGCCTATTTTGAAATATTTCGCATGTTCAGGATGATGCCAATAAAATGGGTGGAAAGTGGATCATCCGTTTAAGGAAAGGCCTCGCGTCCCGGTGTTGGGAGAACCTGATCCTGGCCATGTTGGGGGAGCAGTTCATGGTTGGAGAGGAGATCTGTGGGGCTGTGGTTTCAGTGCGCTTCCAGGTAAACACAAAAACACACGCACTCACCCTAATCCCGCCCCTGATTTTAAAGCATTCACACCTTCTTTCCCTTCAGGAGGACATCATTTCCATCTGGAACAAAACTGCTAGTGACCAAGCGACCACAGCCCGCATCAGAGACACCCTGCGCCGGGTCCTCAACCTGCCTCCCAACACCATCATGGAGTACAAGACACATACAGACAGCATTAAGTATGTATGTCTCCACCTTTTATTATTTTCCTTCCAAATCTTCTCTCTCATTTTCTTATATAGATGTGCATGCTCACAAATACTTTCTCTTGGGTGAATCAGTGTGGGTTTAAAATTTTAATACTTGATTTAGCTTCAAAGAGCATCATTATACAAAATTACTTATGATTTATGTTTATTGTCTTTGTTCTAGTACATTTGCAAATGTTATGTAAAATAGGCTATGTTCAAACTGCAGGCAATCTGTTTTTAATGACAGTCTCATTGTGATAATTCAATCTTTTTATTTTTTTTCCTGAAATCTGTCATATGCGGTACTAAATCAGATACATATCTAGTGTGTCGTGGCAAGAATGGTCAGAAACATGGCGAAAAGGTGTTAGAAAGACAAATAGTCTTACGGGTATGATCATAAGTCATTTATTGATGGGCAGACATGAAACAGAAAGCAATCACGAAGTCTGTTAGATGTGGGCCCCCGACTGAGGGCGGAAGAGAACTGTTATACCTTCAGCTATCATTATGTGATAATGAACAACCAATCAGAATCTGCCTCGTTCTGGTACATGAAGTAGGTCAGCTTGAAGATGACGTTCAGACGATATCATGAGATATGAACAATGGTCAGTGTCAAGGTGATACATAATAAGTATTCCACAACATCCCCTCCTCTTGAGTAAAGGAAATACTCAATACTAAAAATGGAAAAAGGAATAATTATTATAAGTCAGTCCCACAAATGCATCGCTCAACAAATATAAAAGAGGAATATGGGAAGAATAGTGCAAAGGATTATTGGCATAAGCTGGCTTGTGCAAGAAAAAGTAAAAAACAAATGTGTAACAAAAAATAACAAACAAAAGCTAAACCTAAAATCTAAATAAATTAAACTAAAGGTAACAGCTCCACCCTCCTCTTGTTACACCTAAGCTAAATCCTAATAATGTAAGCCTAGAAACTAGTCCTCTGTGAAAGACAGATGCCGTTTGAACAGCACTTCACCAGCTCCCCGGACCTCGCAGGTAAAACCCAGACAGGTTCTTTTCAGCCCCAGTGCCGGAGCGCAACCCCGCAGCAGCCGTCCGCACGAACGGACACACGAAACCCCGGAGCAGACGGAGCGTCCGCTGCCGCCATGTTCGCGGTGCCGTCCGAAGCAAAACAGACCGGCCGCTGCGCGCGCCGCTCCGGTCCCTGCAGGCTTCCGTAACGTGACGCCAAAACTGTCGTGGCAAGAATGGTCAGAAACACGGCGAAAAGGTGTTAGAAAGACAAATAGTCTTACGGGTATGATCATAAGTCATTTATTGATGGGCAGACATGAAACAGAAAGCAATCACGAAGTCTGTTAGATGTGGGCCCCCGACTGAGGGCGGAAGAGAACTGTTATACCTTCAGCTATCATTATGTGATAATGAACAACCAATCAGAATCTGCCTCGTTCTGGTACATGAAGTAGGTCAGCTTGAAGATGACGTTCAGACGATATCATGAGATATGAACAATGGTCAGTGTCAAGGTGATACATAATAAGTATTCCACAACATAGTGTTTTTTAAGCAACTGCAATCATGACAGTCATGTCATTTCATCCATCTTTTTCATCCATCTTTTACGCCATATCTGGATTGATGAATCATATATTTGTACGAATCGATCCAAATATTTAAAGTTTGGAACTCTGCTCGTCTTCAGCTATAGAACAGAAGTCCAATTGCTTTGTCTTTTTTTACTTTTTAGATTTGTCATGCCTAGGAACATTAATAAAATTTTCCTATTTATATTAGAGCTGTTTTTCCTTTTCCCCCTTTTTTTTATTTTCATTATTCGTAAGGCTCTTTGTACTGATTCCAAAACTGTTAAGTGTTTTTAAATCGGACCACCCATTAAGTGATTTAGAGGTCATCAAAGCTTGAAAATATGGAAGCAAGTGTAGCATTACTTGCTTAACAACATATAAAAATCGCGGAGCCCCGTATACATTGAGCTTGTCACAGGTTTGCAACAATTTTTCAAACCAAAGCAGAAAACAAACTAGATGAATTTAGATGATGGTGGGGTCTCTAAGCATATCAAAGTGCCTATCATGTCTTGGATTTAGGGCTGGGCGATATGGGGAAAAAAAAAGGACAATTATTTCATATCGTCCAATCTCGATTAATATATTTTTTTTGTTAACTGTTAAAACGTGACTAAGAAATAATTGTCATCAAATAACAATAACATCAAATAAATATAGCTACAGGAAAAAAAATGGCTGTTATTTCACTTTCACTAATATAACAAATAGCTGTGGTTCAGTAGAACATGAAATTATTTTTGCAAAGTATTTAAAAGGGTATTTACCAAGAAAAAAAAACATTTATGCGTAAATCATAGAATCTCACATTAATAAAGTTACCCTTTTGTAAAATTAAAGTTTTAGAAATGAATTTCACATTAAATATGCCATAAAGAAGCATAAACCCTACAAACAGCAACAATTTATGCACACTTTGAATAGGATCGAAGCTCATTACTTTTGTTATGGATGGAACCTCCACCCCCTCCTTTTTTACAGAGCTTTATCAAACAACAAACAACACTGTTTCATTTTTTCTGAAAGAATATCTGATTCTGTACACAACATAAACTCCCAGCTTCTGAGTGTTCAGGAGTTTGCTGCGTCTCTCAGCTGCTGTTTGTGATGCGACTCAGACAGGAAGTGGTCTTCACGTTGCGTCCAGCCCATCGTGTGCCGATAAAACTTACAGAAAAGTTCTTCTCCAGATAAATGAAGAACCGCTGGGACATTGTTCGGTCCTAAACGTTACACTAACACCGCTTCATATTTTTGGAGGACACTTTTGTTTTAGCAAGCCGTGCATCACGGCTCTCTTTTCTTGCCCCTCCTTCCCCGTGTTGGGAGAGGAGCTTAGAGTTCACCCTGCGTGCCTGTAAGCAGGTAACAGCAGGTACAGGAACTGACAGTGGTCAAACTACCTCAGAAACTCGCTCAAATATGCGAACTCTGTGAGATTCTGTGTTTTATACTGGATTACTTTTTGTTTAGTTAATTCTGTGATGCATTTCTTTAGCAACTTTTAAACGGAAGTGGAGAAGGTGGATTCTGATTGGCTGTTTTCGAGCACATTTCAGCCATGTTTGATCGAGTAAGAGGCTCACAGCTGATCACCGTGATCGACCTGAATTTTTTTCTCAATCAATAATCGCAATCAACTAATCGCCCAGCCCTACTTGGATTACTATGAATTTATAGTAATAAATGGTAAATGGTAAATGGTACTGAACTTATAGAGCGCTTTTCAAGTCCCTCCGGACCCCCAAAGCGCTTTACACTAACAGACATTCACCCATTCACACTCACATTCACACACTGATGATGGCAAACTACACTGTAGCCACAGCTGCCCTGGGGCACACTGACAGAGGTGGGGCTGCCATGCATCGGCGCCACCGGACCCTCTGACCACCATCAGTAGGCAAGGTGGGTGAAGTGTCTTGCCCGAGGACACAACGACTGAGACGGCTGGACGGGGGATCGAACCAGTAACCTTCTGGTTCCAGGACGACTCCCCTAACCACTCCGCCACAGCCGCCCTTAAAGGATGCTAACGCTGGTATACCAGCTACTAGCATGATGGGATCCATACTTGAGTTTGTTTTTGCTTTCAGTACGCTGCCCCCGCCCCACAAGGGCAGTTTTGCTTCAGGGCAGCCAGATCAAATTTAAGTATTATAAGAAACAAGCAAAACGGATGAAAAGAATGTAGTAATTTTGATTGAATTGGTCCACACATGCTAACGTGTAGCYTCTATCTACATCTATCTATCTACTTTTAAACTATAATGTGAACAAACACGCTATAAATTCAGATCTGATCAAAAACAACAAAAAAATAAAATTGTACATTAAGACCTGCAGTGTGAACGTAGCCAAAATACATTTTTAGATCCACAGTAAATGGTAGTTTTAAGGGTGCATGTCATTGTGTTACAATCAAAAAAAAATTAAGAAAAACTTTGAAAGATTTTTTTTGTAAGTAGTTTAGTGTGCCGTTACCTATCTTTGCACGGACACCAGCTATAATCATGTGCTTATAAAATCATCACTCGGGGGGAGGGGGAAATTAACAGCATGTGTCATTTATTTGTGTAAAAATGATTTGAATGTTTCAACACTGTTCATGTTTGTCTGTCGGACGTGGTGTAGAACAGTGGTTCCCAAAGTTGGGGTCGGGACCCAAAGTGGGGTCCTGAATAGGGTTGGGCAATATTGGCAAAAAAATTAATCACGATTAATTGTGGTATTTAGCTGATAACGATTAATTTGACGATTAATCCCCTGGAGTCCCTGGACACCTTTATGTCCAGGTCACATGACCAATTTAGTGGAAAAAATTTGCTCTTCATAAAAATCTGTTCCAAATTGTGTCAAAATCACAGACTTCAGGCTATACATCTAATTTTAAATTGTGTTGATAGATAAATAAATTACAGAACCTTTTTTTTTATGTTCATCATATTTGAAGCAGAGGAGCTCCGAGCGGACTCTGCCTGGTGGCATTAATCGTATTAATCATCAAGTGCCAAATAATAATCGATTAATGTTTTTCTGACGATTAATTGCACATGATACGATTATGCCCAACTCTAGTCCTGAAACATCAAGGTTGGGTCCTGAAAAGATTTTCTAAATTAATTATATTTTTGCCTTAGTTGCCTAAAATATATAAATGTAGAATAATAAATATTGTTACTATGCTCATGTTTTGTTGACCTGATACAAATGTTTGTCATCCAAAAATAGTTGTGGGCACAGGTCTCTGCTACTGTTATTTTGTGGGTCAAAAGCTGAAAAGTTTGGGAACCACTGCACTTCAGAAATCAATTTAAAGGG